TAAAGAAGAAAAATATACATATAAATGTAAAAGAAAAAATATACACAGATGTACACCTATACACAAATACTTTATCTTTTCTCATATATACATACATACACGAACTCTCTATTTCTCTTACTCATACATTCTCTCACTCTCTTTTTCTCTCTTCCTACTGCGCGTACGTAACGTGTGCAACGCGGATTCTTCTTGCTCGTACACGGAAAAACACGCACACGTAATCACAACACGTACGAGGACAGGACATGTAAATATGTAAGGACGCACGCGCGCGCGCAGTCACACCACACACACACACACACACACACACTTGTAATTTAACGATTCGACATATCCGCATACATGTACTTTACCCACAAACACAAATACACACACATATACGCGTACACACATCTGTATACACGCACATACATGTGAAAATCGAGAATCCGTTCGGAGAAGATCGACGTGCGCGCGCGAGTGCGCGCACAAGCGGATATACACATATACGTGAGACTGTTCTTCGATAAAGTGGCAACGTAGAGTCGGAAGAAGCGAAGGAAGATTAAATTAAAGTAAAAACAAAAACAATCGGGGAAAGAAAATCGCAGAAAATTAGGCCGCCACAGACTATCGAGTTAGATCGCCGCAGAATCGCAGGAGCCCCAACTGAGGATGCAAACAGTAAACCAAAAAAAAAAAATCGAGAAAAAAATAAGAAATTACGAAGCAGACAGATTAAAAACTAGCTGTGGTAGTCGCCGCCGTATTGCGCGTACATCTTGTATAATCGTTGTCATCGTTGTCGACGTCATCGTCGTCGTCGTCGTCGTCTTCGTCGTCGTCGTTGTCGTCGTTGTTGTCGTCGTCGTCGTCGTCGTCGCCGCCGTTGCCGCTACTGCTGCTGCTGCTGCTGCTGCTGTTGCTGTTTGCAATATCCACGTGCACTGTTCACTGCCACTGCAGTTCATGTTAATATCGTTGTACATATAAAAAAAAAAAACTTTCTATGTGTAGCTCGAAAAAAAGTGCGGCGAAAGGAGAAAAGCAAGGCGAGGCGCGCGAATGGACACGCATCCTGCGAAAGTACAAAGGACACGTAGCGTTGGTCGCAAAGAGGAGCTGAGCTGCACTGACAGCTCGGATTGATCAGCAGATTGTCGCGTGTCCCCACTCTGTAGAATTTTATCATATATAAGAAAATGAGAAAGATAAAACCTAAATATAGTTAAAAAAAAAATATATATATATATATATATCGTGGAACGAATAAAAAAAGTTTAATCAAGCCTTGGCGCTGAACGATGTCAGTGCAACTAGCTCAAAGGATTGTTCGTGCAGGATCTTGATATCTCGCAACACGCGCGCGAGAAAAAAAATACTATTATAAAAACCTAATCTTCTATATCCCCTTACAGATCTCGCGCGAAGCTACGTTGTGAAAAAAAAAAAAAATATATATATATATAGCGATAGAGGTTGCCGCGCGTGTGCAACCTGCACACGTCAAATGTAGTTTTGCACCGCGTGTTAATGTGTAACATCTCTTCTCTACATTAAGATAAAAAGATAAACGAACAAAAAATAATTTTTTTGTTGCCAATTACTTTCGAGATCCAACGATATCTAAACGATCGATACAAATTTTGAATGATGCAAAACTTGTTTGACATGTGCGTATTTTTGTCAGATGAGAGAATCTTGCAAAGTAGACAGTCTATTTTTTTATAATCTGCCAGAGCAACTTATCTACACGATTATATTCGATACTAGAGAAGACCATATTTTTGTTTGGACACATGACCCATGTTGTGATTCGCATTGGATCCGCGACGTTGAAGGACAGTGACTGCAAGATTACGTCTCTAAAGTTGCAAGATAGATTGCGCGCTTCGCCGCGCTTCTCGCGTGCGGAAAAAAAAAACGATATAACTCTCGTGTAAATGGACATTACATTTCCGCAGCGATCGAATTTCATGCGTATTTTCTCGTCTCTTCTCTTCCACCCAGACGAATTCTCGAAACCTCGGCGGGATCGATTTCTCCCGTTCCGACGAGCCGCGTGCGTGCGAGCGAGTCCTTCGCGTTTCGAGCGCCGTTGAAACAGCTTCGGCGACTCTGTCTCGCCTTGACGCGATTCTATGCGAAAATGAAAAACAAAAATACAAATTCGTACGTTAGATTTTGTGGAAGTCGTCTTAATTATAGGCGACAAAAAAAAAAAAAAAAAAGAAAACTCGTCGGAGCCTTGTGTAGAATTTTAGATGATTGGTCGAGATTTGAGTCACGCGAAGGGCGAGCCGATTTGAACATTGTACCTCGACAGCTTCTTGATTTTATTCCTGACGTTTGTACATCTTGTATCTTTTGAGACGTGTGAAAAATATTTTGATGTCGAGCGGAAGATAACTTCCGCGCGGTATATTACGACGATCCTTGTGATATTATTTTAAGACACGACGATTGTGTGCGCATTAGTCGACGAATCTCTCAGATCACGCGAGAAAAATTCCCGCGGCTGGCCGATCGCGCGTCTCAAATCGCTCATTGCACTCTCTTTAAAAAAAAAACAAAAAAATAACAAAAAAGAAAAAAAAATTAAAACCACGCACCGCGATTCAATCGATATCATCAAGTCGTAATCACGTTCTCGTTGCGTCGCGCGGAATAAATGCGACGCATTTGTGTGTATGTGGAATGTGTGTATTTAAAAACGATATAAACTCTATACATACATATATATATATATAAAAGGAGCCGTAAGAGAGAAAAATCGAACAAACGAACTCGAAAGTGGGTTCGAGAGATTATAAATATATAAATATATATATATGAGGATTATATATATATAAAAAAATGTATAAAGAAAACGAGGGAATTAAGGCGCGCTGAGCGTACGCCACCTTCAATGCCTCATTAACCTCACATCTAATGCTTTTTTATCTGTACATTTACAATTTGTGTACCAATGAGGAACGTTGTTTAATCATGTTGTTGATGTTATTGTTAAAGAATGAGATTCAATATTGTACATAACACACTATATATTCATTATAATTGATAATATAAATAATTATATACATAAAAGTAAATCGCCCCCCTTTCCCAACCCAGAGTCCCCTTATGCCTCGCGTTTCGATATGCGGAGATCCACATCACTTTGTAATAAAAAGACAAGTACTTTACAAACCTGTGTTGGGCAGGATGAAACTGTCGGCATAAAATCGTTGCGTCGTACGAACGCGTTTGTGTCATGAAAAAAATGGCCTTAAGTATCTCCCTCTCTCCCGGTTAAGTGCATTAACGTTGCCTCTCGTTTCGTCCGCTCGACATGCTGACAGAAGTATCCGTATGCTCATGATTTGTATTTGTCACGTAGTTTATAGTTACACATAGTTCTATGGTGTAGTTTTCATCACGAGGAGATTTCCAAGTCACTACGTTAGAAATGCGAAAAGCATATTTTTATTATTATTACTCAGGGGAAGTGCATGTCACATGGTTGTTAGTTACATGTTGTATATTCTGTATTGCACTATTTAATTTTTAGAATTTTTCATTCTACAAATTATAACAGTCAAAATATTCATATATTTCAATTAAACTTTTAGTGGCGTAAAGATAGAAGAGTTATAATTTTTGTTCTAATACAATCACAGATGCACAGATTATATAGAGATTAAGTTCTTCTTAGTTTGTATTTTATTAATTTAATGTTAAACTTCACTGAAAAAAATGTATATTAATTTTTTTGTCACATTTGGTAAACTATGACGGAGGTAGGTAGAGACAAGATGTATTTCATGTAATATTGTTTATTGTCAACAAGAACAGAGAAAGAATGTCTCATTCTACAGTTGTTAGTAATTATATGTAATTACATAACTTTAAAATATCACAGTACTGATTGTAATATCAATCTAGAGCGTTTATCTTTTTACATTTGAAAATATGTGTTTAAATGTTTCTATAATTGATATAAATTACACAATTAATAATTAATTTTTCTTCAACAACTAAACTCGAGTCTATAACATAGATATCTATTTACATCGTTAAAAAACTAAAGAATCTAGCGACGATAATATGTCTTTATTTATCTTAAATTGTGCTATTTTGTATTTTTTGTGAAATCGCGAAATCTCGCGAAGATACGCTCACGACGACAAAAAGCAAATATATCTTATTGCTTTGTGTTTACAGTTCGATTACGTTGTGTTGTTGCAATTAATCAAGTAATCATGTAACTCTAGCAAACTATCCGTCATTCTGGCGCGATACGCCGGCACTTTTTTGAACTGCTCGCAAATAAGCGGCGTTCTGTCAACGTATAGAACAGTTTCGAGAAGTTCCGGCTCCTCGCTGAAATACTTGCTGGCCGTGTCAGAGTTCAACAGCATGATTGGTGTGTTCAGAACACCGTGAATCATGCACATAATCCGCAAGTCATGAATAGACTCGACGAACTCGTTCCAAGGGAGCACTTCAGATATATTCAGATCGGATTCTTTCATGGCGATTGCCATTGAATCGTGGTAGATTCTGAAAAGCTCTTTGCCGTGCTCTTCCCGTAGCTTTCGCGTTGTCGTGAATTGCAGGAAACACAGGATGTCATGTGCTGGTGGATTGTATCTGCATAAAAAAATTGCATGCAATAAACAGAATTTACTACAGTAATGATTTTATTATTTAAAAATTGACTAAATTACCTTACGAGTTGGAAATCGATGAGGCAACATTCAACAGGTTTCTTGTCGGCGTCGTACTTGAAGAGTATGTTGTTCGCCCATAAATCGCCATGGCACAGCACGTTCTTGTGCTTGACCGACGGCGACAGTTTGTCCGTGTGGTCTTTGCACAGTTTCATGATCATCTCTTTAAAGTTATCACGCTGCTCGTTATTTAGTTCGGACAAGAGATCGATCATCGAGATGGTGCCTTTCACGGCGGCTTCGAACATCGGCTTTGTTCTGTGGCCGCCGTTGCGCGGCCACAGAGTCTCGTGCATGCAATGAGAAAACTCGTCGTGCAGAGTCTTCTTGTACTGTTGCTCGAAGATCAGAGATTTGGCATGAAATTTGGCGAGCGTTTTCATGAGGATTTTGCAGTGCTCGAGATCGAACGGCATGGATTTGTCCGTCATTATATATCCGCTGTGAGCCATGTCTTCCAGGACGATCACGTTGTTCTCATCTCCGAGGAAACATTCCGGGATACATCGCGCGTCTCGATCGTCCAGCATTTCCGGGAACACTGTGGTGTAGAGGTCTACTTCCTTCTTAAACGTACCGTTTTCTTGACTGAAGTCGTAAAGCGGACTGTTCGTCCGTGGCGGCACTTTGGTGAAGAAATTTATGTTTCTCGTTTCCAGTGGCGATTTCGGACAGGCTACGGTTGCCTTCAGTGTGAAATACTGACCCATGTAACCGTTCACCTCATCTATCGGCACGATCTCATAGTTGACCAGCGAGAAATCGTCCATCGCGTCTCGCTGCAGCTTCTTGCGAATTATCTCGAAGCACTGCTCGTCCTGAAGGACTTTCTGCGACTCGATGTCACGCATTGTCGATATAAAACTAAATGTCTTTGTTTCTTTTTTAACGTAGGAGTTTTAGACGCTGTCTTACTTTCGATTGCGAAGTCGATTTAAATCCCGCGGCTATTTATCGCGGAAAAAAACGCGCGCATTTAACCAGAACGCGTAATAAATGCCTCGTCGTAAATGCGTTAAGGAGAATTAATGTCGGCTCAGTTCGTAATTTACAATACTCCTGTGGCAGACCGCAATATACACTCGCTTTCTTTCGGGGTTTATCAGTCGCGAGCACTAGTCGCGCGGTGCGATTCGATTTCGCACGCTGAGCGACGTTCGCGCGCCGTGTCTTGTCCTACTCAGGATTAGGAGTACCTTTATATCACGTGCGGAATGAAGAATTGCGCGTATTCGTGATTGTTCTCTTGAGTGGCGCTGATTGGAGCTAATATTAGATCACACGTGACACGTACTGCATAACGATGCAAATGGAACTAATAACTTTTTATTGACACTCATAGTGTGGATCGATAACCACCATGTGTGTACACACGTTGAAGTGTCGTTGCCGGACAAAGGCGCCGGTACTAAGAGAAAGATCGCCCTTTACTCTCGTCACGCAATTAGACTTATGGCTATTCATAAAAATATATATACACGTTACATTGTTCAAGTATTGTCAATAATAAAAAAAAAAGGCTTGTAGGGAAATCTTTGAATAATCGATACCAAACCTCTTCAGGATAAAACAAAAAGGATATGGAACAGACGATCCTGCGTACATACGCCTATGGATGGAAAGAGATGTTTGAGCGTTGGTGTGTTTTCAGTCCATTAAAATAGACACCACGTGTGCACGCGCGCACATCGAGCAAGAAAAGACTCACGTGTCACACGTGATGAAATGTGATGAAACGTGACCTCTCTCTTATATATACTTTAGAGATCGCTAATAGCTTCTCTTATATACTTTAGAGAATCTTTGTGAATGGCAAACGAAACAAGGATCTGAAATTGACATCGCGAACTTAGTCAATTGGATTATTCTTCATTATTTTTAGCGATTTCTATTGAACACACACGGATGTTATTTTTGATATATATCAAAAATAAACTGTATATACAATATATATTTATATTTATACAGTTTGTATTATTGTTGTATTTATATATATATATATACATATGTAAATACAGTTGCCGTTCTCTCAGAGGTATTAAAATTTAAAATCCATATTTGTGTATGTAGAGATTTTTATAATTTAACAATAATATTTCCGAGGATTAACACCAGCAATTTTCTGATTGAATCAAGCTGGTGATAACTTGCAAAATTGAATGCAGCGACATATTTCATTCTATTGCAACAAGCAATATAGAAGATTCGTTTTATTATTCCGACCTTTCTCATTCTCGCGATGTAGTGTGATGTAACATTTTTAACTGTTTCGCGCGGGAATGATTTTTTAATTGAAATGGAAATCTCACGATAACGAACGCACGATTACGTGCGTTCTACATAATTCATATTGAAGCCATAAAATAACAAGATTTCTTTCGTACAAATGAGCATGGACTTTGCTTTGGTAATTAGAGTGTCTGTTAGCGATAATGTCAAGTTTTTTTATAGTTTCTGTTTTGAATGTTGACTTATCGTTCAACTTGAAGAAAAGTATCTATATAAAACTGTGAAACTCACTTAATAATACACCGTGACGTAATAAAAGTATGTAATTGTAGCGTATAATTTCTTTTATTTTCAAAAATGTGTCATATTTATCATTACAAGCCTCCGTGAATGTAAGAGTAATTGGAGATTATTCTAAAATGTTTGTGAAAATTTATATCAAGCAAAACTAGAAAGAAACTACTGAAAACTTGACATTATCGCTAGCAGACACTCTAATTACCAAGCAAAGTCCATACCCATTTATACGAGAGCAAAACCGTGCTCTTATTTTAATATAAATTACGTAGTAATGTAATGCAACTCTGATCGGTACATTCGCGTGTTATCCTAAATTTCTGTTTCTTTAAAAAAAAACTCAATTGACGTTACATCGTTTTGTTTTTATGCTCGTGTACTTAAAATATTGTTGTCAATAATGAACGTTGCAACAACGCACGTCTGATTGATAAGGCGGACGACAATGATAATTGCAGTGTGTCTCGAAAAAGAACTGAAAGGTAATAAAAGAACAAAACAAACGTGTCATCTGATAAAATAATTTTTCCTTGTGATTATTTACCAAATTAACAAGTTTAGATAACGTTACCATCTAAGTCAAGAAAGTTAGATGAAATATTTTTTGTTACCAAATTCTTTTGTGTTATATGTTACAACGCAAAGTTAAAAAAAATATATCCTTATTCCAGTGTCAAAATTTCCACAACCAGTTGTCACGAGAGCTACGTGAGCCGCGATGATCGCGTGCAAAAAGTATCTCATCAGTTAGCGATGCGTTCAAGTAACTGTTGGACATTTTTTAACACTAGATTTATCAGACCAGTCATTTTGACTGGTCGTGCAATTTCATTTTTTTTTCCTACTGCATGTAACATTTGCTTTCCGAAATGATGTTATGACTTTTGTAGCTATAAGTAGAGAATACATTTTATGAACTTAATGTTACTTTATATATATTTGTAACAAATATATTTTTTGTATTTTTTAATAGGTATATTTAAATAGCTGGTATATCTAGTGTTAAGTATGGACGGACGCGAAGACGTGTCGGAAAAATTATTCGTGCGCCATTACGATCGCTACGTCCGCGCGTAATCGACATGTCATAGGTCAAGTAGATGAGATATCGTTTTGCAGTCTCCGAAGTGCAGTTAACGTCACGTTCTTTGCTCGTAACGTCGAGTTTTCTGCCGTCTTAGCGACTCGTCGGATTCTCGTGACCGTAGAAGCAGATTTTCCGCTTCGATCTCGTTCTCAGGTAAGCAATCTCGAATCGCCGATTAAGATCTATTCCAGACAGATACGTCCTCGTAGAAAGGCGTATGTATGTGTGTGTGTGCGTGTAGCAGATTGTAGCAGGAAATAGCATTGTAAATCGTGCGCAGAGACAGCATTTAGACGAAGGAAAGAGCGAGAAGTAAAAATCAAGAGTGATGATTCGTATCTGTCAACGTGATGGCGTTAATACACAACAAGTATGATTGATATATAGTTATGCGACATGGAGATCGTAGTAGAATTAATTTAGATAAGAAGCAAAAAAGATTCTTAAATATTCAATATTTAATGTACGATAAAACAACAAGGTTTATTGATTTCTACCAGCTGTGATTCATGCGCGCATGAAGAAAGCGTGATATCTACGAGAAAATGTATCTACTGGCTTGATTGTTCGTAAGTTCATTTTTTCTTTCACCTAGATTCTCATTTGCAGCGTTTTAATTAGTCGTAGAATTGCAAGTGAAAGTCAACCAAACGAATTCCGAGATTAATTTATTGAATCGAATGCGTGTCTCGGGGAGTTCAATAAATTTTTTATCTGGTTTTATTGCAGCGTATATAGTTATCGATCAGTTGCTTTGAATCGATATTTATAATCCAATTGGTTGTTTGATGCTCGCAAATAGAGATATATAGTCTCGACATTAATCACGAAGCAGAGTCACCGCCGTTCGTTTCTTCCCAGTATGACCTTATCACTTCTCGCTTATCGCTTCTCGCCGTTGAGACTCGTTTTTTTCGAATGACATATGGCTCCGTTTATGCGTAGCGAAGAGAAACACATGTTTTTTCTTTTTAACAGACCGCGGTGTCTTTGTGATAATCTGATTTTTATAGACAGCGAAGACATCGATCCGTAAACAGCAAGCGTACCATAAACATTTTGGCTTTGAACGATGCTAGAGTTCTGTTAAGTTTAAATATGTATGTCTCGCCGATTTGACAATTTGATAACATTTTAACTGCCAAGTGATAATTGCAGTAATAGCACACATGGCGCGGGCAAATATGAAAAGGCGGCACTCGGATTTGTCGCACCTCGAATCCGTTACCAGAATCTCAAATCTCCCCGTCGTGGAAAGCGGCATATACATGGCTGGCAATGCGTACAGACGAATCAAGGTAAATGCAATTTTTTTCAGGAATCAATAACTTTAATCCATGTATGATATAATATATGAATATTATAACATTTTCTCTTCCGTATTAGTCCTCGAATTCCTTGATAAACTGGAGTTTGGATACCGCGGAAGACACGTTAAAAATGGCGACCGTGGCCGCACGACCAGCGCTTTACGTATTTAACGGGCCAATTACGACAATCGACGAGCTACTGTGCAAAGGCATCGACATAGTCGAGCAGAGAGTACCGGCGGTTCATCTTCCGCCTCATCTCGTAAGTTCGCGAATTAATTAAAAAAACGATCGATTTGCGTTTCTCACGATGTTACGTTTTGTTCTCAGCTGTATCTGAACACGCGAGAGTATGTAAATAACAATATTGTAAAACCAATGCTGATGCGCGCCGGAAGCATGAAGAACATCGGTAGCCAGGCCGCCGACGTTGCCGCTGTCACATTGGACGGTGCGCTGACAATCGCGGACAAGTACGTGGATCGTTATCTGCCAGCAGATCCAGCCGACAAAGTCGGTGAGAACAAGGATGGTAAGATTATTGCACGTTTTTCTAGTTATATTTATAGCTATATTTTTTTAAGTTAACTTATAATTTAATCAAAACAACAACACAGTAAAATTAAAAATATTGCTTGATTTCAGTTTTGCATTTATAAGTAGCGAGTTTAGAAAATAATGTCAAAATTTTTTTTATTACGCCGCGTTTTGAAATATACAAAGATATGTGCGCTAATAGCACAGTGTGTGTGTACTAACATAGCAGTAAACGTCGACGTCGATTGACAGTCCATTTTTCAGAAGTTGACTCCACTAATCCCGAGAGCAAAGCTGCACGCACGATCAAACACGGGCGGAGATTTTCGCGAAAATTGCAGAGGAGATTGACACGACGCACTCTGGCCGAAGCACGCGCGCTTAAAGAGCAAGGAACGGAATGCATGCACGTTCTTTTGTATGTGGTTGAATTGGTAAGGCTTGACATTTGATTAATTTATTAATTATCGCTAAACCTAACTCGTGTAATAATAGAATTTTGACGATTGTTTCGTCGTCGTGTTACATTGCGCTACGTATTGCCCGAAATCAATTATTAGTCGGTAATTTCTGCATTTTATCGCAAGTGTCACATACACACACATACACAGTTATTTCGATAACGTTAACTCAAAACTAAGCAGTTGAAAAGCCGCGTAAATATTTATGAACATTATATTGATTAAATAAGCAACCTTGCAATACGTTTACGCTGCAATGTAGTAAGTTAGTATGAACATTCGTAAAATGCGTGATGTTATATAAGTACAACTTCGTGGAAAATAACGCATCACGCTTGTTATGCAAACAAATCGCTCTACGTGAAATTATTCCATATTCTTTCCATATCACTTCAGAAACAGTGAGGTTTTTTTCCTAAATTGCAACTTAATGAGAAAAACATATGCGTTAGCACATGTCGCAATTATTATCTACTGTACATTTTATAAAGCGATAAAAAAAAAAAAAAAGAAATTCTACCGCGTGTGTTAATTTTATTTCATCCTACGCAGATAGCCACCGATCCTAAACTGGCATATCAAAAAGCCAAGGAACTGTGGGCCATCCTGAGTCTACCTGAGCCTGAAAATCAGGCGCGTCCAGCCACGCTCGAACAACTACTGGTTCTTTTGACACGCGAGTCCGCACGACGCATAGTACATCTGGTGAATGGTACGGTGGCACTGGCAGCAAAAACTCCGCGATGTATAGGTTGTCTGCTCTCCCGGCTTTCTCATCAATTGCTCGCCGTCGCTGACGCCTCGTTGAAGGTTGCATCAATTTCACTTAATCCAATTTCAATCAATTTGCTTGATTCTATTCTCGGTCACGCTCGTTATATTAAAAAACCTTAATTAACCGCTCTTGAATACAAATTTTGTTTTTCTGAAATCATAATTGTTTCAGATGACACCACTTATAAACAAAAGCAAAGCTGTGACGAAAAAACAAATGTCTCTTATACGCTCCGCTATTGATAGGTTGAGTGTCATCGCGAATCAAATATTGGTAAATACAAGTGTCTCGTATCACAGTTAAAATTTTAAATTATAAAAATGTCTTTTTCTTTTAATTTGGAATTTTTAATTTATGTGTAAGAGCATAAAAACAAAATTTCAATTCTTGTAGGAAAAATGTGCCGTGTTCTTGGCTGGTCGCCCCAGTCCTCAGAAGACACCGCACGTGCAAAACCGCCGCCAGCAGAACCACAACAACCACATGTCGGCGACTCCCGATCCCCCAATAAACGGTATCGAGTAACACGAGCAAGTCTCGCCTGAAAACTGCAGCGTGCAGTATTTCTACCCTTCCGGTATGGTTTTCAATTACAAGTTCAAAGACACGAGAATAGAAATCGCGCTCCGAGTTGTGTGGCGCTCCCTGATTAATGTAACGTTTTCGTCGACACTATCATTACATCATTACTCTTGCGATTTTGTACGTGATAGAAGATAAGACAATAAGATATATTTTATCGCTGGCATATACTGTGTCCGTGCTGCGTTCATTATGCGCCATGGATTTAATTTACTTATTGAGCGATTATCATTGTTTTTTTTTGGTAATCATAAATAATATTAAATGATAAACGAAGAAATAAAGGGCCATTTTGGTTAGTAACACTTCTGTTTTTTTTGTTTATCCTTTTAATCTTGTATAATTTTGTACAATCGCAGCAATATATAATGTAACAACAGTTCATTTATAGAATTAAATGATTCTGGATACTGATGAGTTTTTTGCCGTCATTTAAATGTCAAGCTACAGACTTTAACATCGAGACGCGAGACATCACGGTGTACTTCGTTTCCTACTACATTCTCCTCAGATTTCTTTTAGTAGTGAAAGCGGAGAAATCTTAGGTGTAGAATTTTTAACGCGATCTTCCTGCTTCTTAAGCGAGCTATCATATTTTCAGTGCAGCAAATCAAAAGATACATATATACAAGTATAAATAACATGTATTATAGAAAATAAATACTGAGAAAAATGATATTTTAGATATTTATAACACACACACACATACACACACACAGAATTACTAATAATAAGATATGTTTTACGATATTTCTATCAAATTAAATAATTATAATGTATTACACAGTAATATATACGTAGAATTGCAAGATTAAAACGATTCTGCCATTAATTAAAGCCAGACAGAGTTATATACGTTATCAAAGTTATATTTCACCGTATGTCTCAGAGATAAGAGCTTATCGAGAAATTACCGCTAGACAAAACGTGTCACGAACTTTGGAATTTACTCGATGACAACAATTTTGGAGACTGCAGTTTTCAATCAAAACAGTTATTTCTTTGAACTTATCACTCAGATAAATTTGGTTGTGGTCAACGACAAATTTACTTTGTTTTATTTTGTTATATAAAATTTTTGCACTTAAGAGAGAATTAGAAAATAATGACAGAGAATATTAAAAAAATATAATCTGTACTATATAAAAACTTGTTATAGTAAGATATAATTTGTTATAATTTGTTGTAATGAGATATAATTGAATTTTCTAGAGAAGATAAGAGTCATATATCGAGCGAAAATTTTCCTAAAGACTTGCGGATATGCGAATTCCTCTAATAACTTAAATATTTCTGGATGTTTATGAGATAACATGTATCGCATCAGGAGCAATGATAACACGAACTTAACTACAACGGTGTAGTTGAAACGGACTTTGTACCGTGAAACATACGTACTGACTATGGGAAATAACAGTAGGGAATTATGTCCCCTATTCATATTGTGCAAGCGAGAAAAGTAATAATTGTAATTTTCCTACGTGCTAACAAATGCGAAACTATTTCTAGCTACAATTAGTTTGCAGACTTAGAAGGATACAAATGTTCCTCGATTAGTATTTTAAAAATATATTAAAAATATAATAAATCTTGTATAGAATTTACATTAAAAATTGCTTATTTTAGAAGATATTTTAGAAGTAATTTACAAAAATATAAAAAATGTACATAAGCTTAACGTAGTTTTCATGTTATTTTGAATAGCAAAATTGTTTTTACATATGTATTTGTTCTTATTTCATGAAGATCACGTTTTGTTCACGAAGAAAAATACTTAAAGATAGGAAATCATCATGAAAATATTTTCATATCTATATTTGAAAACCGTAATTCTCGTTTTTTGTCGTTGTCAGCATTCACGTTCATTCAAACTGCGTTTACTGCGCAGACGGTTATAAGTCTCTGGCGTGCGTGATCAGTCAGCATTCGTGCCGAAACGTCAGACGCGTTCGTGAGTTCAGTCGTGAAGCACGTCGACAAGCCGCTGCCATTCAACATAGTATTTTCTACGTATAAAGTAAGTATTAAGTACTATTTTAAAACAATTATAAGTAGTTTTTGTTCTTCGGTAATCACGATTTTATTTTCGAGCAAATACAAAATTAATCTGAAACTATTAAATTCACAAGATTTTTAAGTTAAATTTTGAATGTATTAATTGCACACTGACACATTGTTTAAAATTGTTATTTTTTGTAATTTTTAACAAAAATTACGTTAACATAATGTTTTATTAATGTACTTTGCTGATAAATTATTTGGAGTAAATTTAATTAAACTTTGATCAAACCTTATCTGTTTAAGCGCGTTTATTTCCAATGTGCGACGTACATTTTACAAAGATTAATTTTTTGTTTACGTGATCATGTACACATTTGACATTGAATAAAAGAAATGGAAAAATATTTTATTATATACATAAGATTGACGAGTGTATAGATTTCATCGACGAGTGTATAGATTTCGAGATTCAAGGTATTCTCGAAATCATACACATTGATATTGACATGTTCGGTTATTGAAAGACTGCGATGTATATATAAACGACTGATTTTGAATTGGAATGATTTTCTCAATATCAGTGAAAATAGAAGATTAAATGTACGAAATAATTATTCTCGTAAGCACAGGGAAGAATAGAGCATCAGTTTTAAAAAGAAGTTTAATATATGCGCATTAATCAAATGTGCGGCCAGGAAGATATACGTGACGTACCTAGACGTGCTTAGATTTATAAATTTTATCTAATGTGATATTTGTTGTCGCTTTTTATTTTCTCTATAAAAATTATGGAATATAACAATTAATTAAAGAAATAAAACCGATACGAAATATATTATTATCATTTCATTACTGAAATATATTTTTTTGTGTGTAAAGAGAGTGAATTATGTATAATATGAATGATTGTTTTACATTTTTACTAGAAAAATACGTTTTTTATTTAACAGAAATTAATTAGATTATTTTTGACTTATCGTGTGATAACTTTGCGTGAAACAATGGCAACGGAGGTGGCTCAACTTCCTCATTTAAACATCGTTAATCGCGTGTTGGAATTACCCATCATTGAACTAGCATTGCACAAATCCGCCGAAACCTATTCCAAAGTGAAAGATTTGAATCAATTGGTACACTGGGCTTTCACCACTGCCGAAACGTCACTGAGCACTGCGACAAAACAAGCGATTCCCATTGCCGTGCCAATCGCGAAAAGACTTGAAAACCCCATCAATTTTGTTGATCACACATTATGCCTTGGTCTCGACAAAATAGAAGAGAAAATACCGTTGGTGAAGGAAAATCCCGCACAGGTTTGAATACATCTTTACACGCATGTAACAAAATAGCAATGTTTAAATTCTTAACATATGTATACATATATAGATTTTAAGATGTTTTAAAACTATTGTTAGAAATACAAAAGTGAAAAGAGCATGATGTTCACATTAGCTACATTTCTTCAGATTCTAATGAAGGCTAAGTCACGCATTTCATATGTAAACGATTTGATCGTGGCACAAGCATCGAATCTGGGATCCGCCAGTTGGCTTAAAGCCAATCAAATACTCGACACGCAATATGGTAATGCGGCTGTGAGGGGTTTAGATAACACGGCTTTTGTCGTCGATAAACTCATTGATAAATATTTCCCTTCGACGGAAGAAGAGCAAGAAACAAAGGACAATCCGGAAAGTAAGACGAGTTTTCAAACTTTTTGTGTGAGATGAACTTGTTGAAGCAAAAAAAAAAAAAAACAAAAAATATATATATATATATATATATATATATCATTAAATATATAATTCTGCAAAAAAATATATATGTTCTTTGAGTTTTACTACGTTGTGCTTGATGAAAGTAAAGGAAGTGCGCCAAGCGCGAAAGTTAGTGAAAGTAGCTAATAACACCGGCACATTACAACCTTTAATTTCTTATTTGTATATGTATTTCTTATTTGTTGCAGAGACAGAGACAGAGACAGAGACAAACACAGTTGAGGAAGACAAGCTGTTACATACTTTGCAAACAATCGGTCATCTGTCCAATAAAGCGTCTCGGCGCGTATATTCGAATGTAATACGCTACTTGAGCACCGTCAAAAAGGAAGTGCTGCTGAAAGATTATGTTCGCCGTTTAGTAGAATTTCTTCATCTTACGTCGTTTCTTCAGTGCGAAAATATTACCACGAAAGAATCGAAGCAAGTCCAGACTAACGGTGAGATAAAAGGAAATAAACAAAAATCAGAACCAAAAGACGAAACAAAAACAGAGCCGGAGGAAAATTCGAATACTGAAAAGGAAAAGCACGAATAAGATTACTTATTGTTGTTATTACTTTGTGTTTTTTATTTTCTCCATTTTTTTATTTGTATTCTTTTTAAAAAAGTGAATGTTATTTATCTTTGGGAGTAAAAATGTTACATATTTATTGTCAATTCAATTATGCATAAGCCATTGTATACATGCCGTTATTTTTTTTATGGTTATCATGTGACATTATCAATTTAAATAATATAATTGGGTCAGTTATTACATTTGCATTTGCGACCAGAAACTACGATGCAAAAATAATATTTGACAAAATTAATTACTTATTTTTCTACATAGCTCACTAACATCGTCGTAAATAAGTTTTATATTTATATATCTTGTATAACTGTATAAGACTGCGAATTATATATGTATAATCGAAAACAGAAATGCACCGTAAAAGGAAACTATTTTCATTAATAATGTATAGGTGCAAAATTCAATAATATTCTACTCCTTTGTAAGCAATACAATTATTATAAGTTGATTTGTATATTATGCGATATATATATATATATATATGTATATGAATGTTTAAAAAAAAACATTTACCTAAGTGAAAACATCTAGAGCATAATTTAAGCTGAAAAACAATAAACTCGATGTTTGGCAGAGAAAACACTGCGCTCCATTCTTGTTCTAAATCCTCTAATCGTTTTATTCTACTATTAGTCATAAGTCATAATACGAAGCCTTATATCTTTTGTAAGTTGAATCACGCGCGCAACAAAATAAGAAAAAATAGAAAATATCTTAATGTTTTCGTTTCTTTGAACCATTACCCAGCAAACAATTTGGTTGCGAGATGTCGCAGTTTTGTCGCCAACCGCCGGCGAAATTAGTAGACCAAATCCATATCCATCTGTGTCCTCATTAGGATATGGTTTGGCGACCATATCTGTCAAACATGTGAGATGTCAAAATGAG